TTACCCCCCCCCCGCCAGCCTGGTCACCCCCTTACTGCCCTACCTGTCAGCTTGGACACCCCCCAACTGCCCTCTTGCCGGCCTGGTCGCTCCTCACTGGCCCCCCTGCCGACCTAGTCGCCCCCAACTACCCCCCCCCCCCGCTGGCCTGGTTGCCCCTAACTGCCCCTCCTGCCGACCCGGTCACCCCCAACTGCCCCCCCAATGCCGGTCTGGTTGCCCCTAACTGCCCCCCTCTACTGGCCTGGTTGCCCCTCACTGCCCCCCCCCGCCGGCCTGGTCGCCCCCAACTGCCCCCCCTGCTGGCCTGGCTGCCCCCAACTGCCTCCCCACCCCCGCCGGCTTGGTCGCCCCTCACAGCCCCCCTCTGCTGGCCTGGCCACCCGTCACTGCCCCCCCTGCAGGCCTGGTCACCCCATGCAGCCTGCTGCTCAGTCCTTTTGTCGTCCCTCACTAAACCCCTTGCTGGCCTGGTCGCCCCACTCAGCCTGGTGTTCAGTCGTCAGTTTGGTTGTTTCGGATGTGATGGCCCCTGGCTCTCTCTCTATATATAGATAATAAAACATTTGGTAGGTGAATGAGTTAGAGTAGATACTAAGCTTCTAAAACAAAGAAACCTGGATCTAGAAACTTAGGAGCCTGGACTCCAACTGGGACTTATTCTACTCCATCTGCTTCCTCTCAGTAATAATAGGTGGTATTTGTAGATGTCTCATTGCAGCATCCACAGCTCCTGAGTTTGTTCTCTGATATCTCAGTATTATAGCATTTCAAATAGATAATGGCTACTGTTAAAATGCCTATGACAGTGAGTACTCACAAAGGTGGAATTGAGTAATTTTAGATACATAAGCTGTGAGTCTCTTTTCCTTTTAATTATTTCAGTCAGGTGCACTTGCAGAGGAAGGCATGCAGGTCAAAAGTATCTGAGGTCATTTCTGCTTTTTACAATGAAGAGACTTAAGTGTAGTCCTACTTTATGTTCTTTTCAAATGATTATTTCATAGATGATTATAATCAAATGATTATAAAGAAATGATAATGTCTTTAGCCTTGTTTTCATTTAGTAAGAGGTTAGAAAATATAAATATACAAACATAATATAAACCAGTACTTATTTTTAAGGACAGTTTTTTATCTGGGGGTTTTCTGTTCATATAGTAAAATAACTCATGCAAACACTGGCATAGACAAAGGTGTGAGAAAAATCCATGTTTAACTTTCTTCAGTTATGTGGAAACACTCTCAGGTATGTATTCATAACCTGTCTATCCCTTTAATTCAGTATCTCAGTGAATGGAAACCCTCATTGACTTGGGTTTATGGCTCATATGTGCTGCTGTGTCTTCGTTCCAGACGTTTGATGAATGTGTAGCGGAGGGCGGCTCAGACTGTGCTCCAGAGAAGCTCTGGCTTCAAATCCCGTTCTTCTGTGGCCACAGCTCGGAATGCTGGTAGGGAGATCAAGTTGGCTTACATTTTAATCTTCCTCATTTCTCTATAATCGGTATTTCACAAATGTGCATGTGTTAGTCAAGGGTTAGGTATAAGGAATTAATGAAAGACCAGACTAAAAATAACATGTGATTAAGTAGTACTTCGTCTTGTGATTACCTTTTAAGTGCATTCTAAAGATCCTTCATGTATAAATATCCTTGCACTCTTTCCCTCAGATGCGGGTTTTCTTTTTAAATGC